TTATTTTGGGCGATTTTAATGCCCACAACTTTTTATGGGGCTCTTCTACCATAAACGCTAGGGGAAGACTACTAGAAGAGACATTTGAACAGTCCAACCTTACAGTCTTAAACGACGGCAGACCCACTAGATTCAATATACAAAACGGTGAATCTTCATGTATAGACCTTACGATATGCGAACCAGGTCTGACCCCACAGCTCACCTGGGATAGGCTCGATTTCCTATACAACAGTGATCACTATCCACTCTTGATTCACAACAACAAGAACCAATGTGGACAGTCTTTTACTCCAAAATGGAATTTAAAAAACCCTAACTGGAATCATTTTTCAAATTTAATCGATAGCAGTATAACCACACTTAAAAGTACCTCAAATATAGACGAGACACTGAAGAACCTTGTTACCATTATCACAAACGCAGCATAAAAAGCAATAGGAAAGACTACATGTATAAAACAACGCAATCCTGTCCCATGGTGGAATCACGAATGCAAAGCAGCAGTTGAATCTAGCAAAAGAGCTTTTAACCAATACAAGCGCTACAAAACTGTTGAGAATAAAATTGAATACAGAAAACAACGTGCTATAGCCAAAAAGACAACTAGAAATGCCAAACGCCAGTCGTGGACTCAATATGTATCAACGTTAAATGCAAACACTCCCATGACTGAAGTATGGAACAAAGTCCGAAGAATATCCGGATTGAATAGTAATCAGAATATCAAAAGCCTCGAAGTAAATGGAAGGGCAGTTACTAGTAACACTGAGATTGCCACAATCCTTGCTAACACATACAAAAACCGATCCAGTAATATTAATTATAAAAAATCTTTCATTAAATACAAACAGCAAGGAGAAAATAAGAAAATTAGCGTTATACCTAATACAGATGAACCGTTAAATTTACCCATTTCTGAATTAGAGTATACAGAAGCATTATCAAATCTCAAAGAAACTAGCGCTGGCCCGGACGATATTCCTAGTATTTTTATCAAACACCTTCCAGATAGCGCTCACAAACAACTTTTAAATCTGTTTAATACTATTTGGCTACAGCACAAATTTCCTGAAAAAATGGCGTGAATCCACAGTTATACCTATACAAAAACCTAATAGTATTAAAACAAGTTCCGAGTCATACCGACCGATAGCTTTAACATGCGCCATGTGTAAGTTACTAGAAAAAATTATTAATAATAGACTAAGATGGCACCTGGAGAGACAAGATTTAATTATTCCAGAACAAAGTGGTTTTAGACAGCAAAGGTCAACCATAGATAATATCATAGATTTGGAAAGTGACATTTCTGAAGCATTCGCACTAAGGAATAAATGTCTAGCGGTTTTCTTTGACATATCAAGAGCTTTCGATACAGCTTGGCACGATTATATATTAAAAAAATTACATCGTTGGAACATTCAAGGTCACTGTTTCTTCTTTATTAAAAACTTCCTTCAAAATAGAGCTTTCAGAGTTAGGACAAACAACACAACATCAGATATAATGTATCCAGAAAATGGCATTCCTCAAGGCTCGGTAATAAGTCCTACGCTCTTTATAGTGGCAATGAATGATATTCTCATAAATCTAAAATCACCTATAAAGGCACGCGTCTACGCGGATGATCTTGTAGTTTTCTGCAAAGGTAAAAATATACAAAACATATTTAATCACACACAGAACTTCATAAAACACTTAGAACTCTGGTCACAAAAAACAGGTTTCTGTTTTTCCACTGAAAAAACTCGTTTCATACTGTTTTCTAAGAAAAATGTCACAAACATCCCTAACCTAAGACTATGTGATGAGGACCTAAAACGTGTAACGTCAATAAAATTCTTGGGCATGACATTTGAAGAAAATCTAAGCTGGAAACTTCATATAACAAATTTGATCTTATCTTGTCACAAGCGATTAAATCTTCTTAAAACTCTGGCCAATAAAGAATGAGGTGCGGATCGCCAAACACTTTTAATGTTATACAGAACATTAATCAGATCAAAATTAGATTATGGATCTACTGTGTATTCTACAGCCACTAAGACACTGCTAAAAAAACTTGACAGTCTTCACAACCTATCTTTACGCATAATATCTGGAGCTTTTCGCACAACACCAATTGAAAGTCTTTATTGTGAAGTTGGTGAACCGTCCTTAGAAGACAGAAGACTTTATTTAAGTGTAGCATATGCCGCAAAAATCAGGTCTAACCCAAAAAACCCTACCATTAACAACTGTTTTACAGAAAAGTTTCCAAATCTCTTCATAAATAAGCCAAGAACTGCCAAACCTTTCTATGCAAGGATTAGAAGCTATTTAAATCAACTAAACTACACGCTCCCAGAATGCTTTTCTTCCCAATTGTCCTTAATTCCTCCATGGCAAATAAAGAATCCTCAGTGCCTAACCCGCCTCATTTCTTTCGACAAACATTCAACAAACCCACAGTTATTCAAATCCGCCTTCAACGATATGCTTCACAACTACAAGGACTATACACATATATACACAGATGCATCTAAATCAAATGAAGGTACTGGTGCTGCAATCATAACCCCAACATCGACAAATAAATATAAACTCCCTTCAGAGTACTCCATTTACTCTGCTGAACTGTATGCTCTATACCAGGCTACCCTTGCTGTCAATGCATCCAATATTACCAATTATATCATACTCACAGACTCTCTAAGTTCAGTCCAGTCAATCCAATATGTCTACCCAACTAATCCTTTAGTCAATAAGATAAAAGAAGAAATCCACACCGCTCAACTGAATGGAAAAAATATTATATTATTTTGGATACCATCCCATATTGGAATTCCAGGAAATGAAGAGGCAGACAACGCTGCAAAAGAAGCTGCAAGAAGTGATAGTGCGGAATGTACTAAGACATTTACGAGTGCGGACGTGAAAGCAACGATTAAATTTAAAGTGCGATATATGTGGAATGAAAAGTGGAAAGTGTCATCGGCAAAGCTACGCGATGTAAAAAAATCGATTAAACCCTGGCCCACATTACCAACAAGTCGAAGAGACCAGGTAATATTAACGCGACTTCGACTGGGTCATACGCGACTAACGAATAGCTACGTGTTCTCTAACAAAGAAGAACCAAGATGTGACAACTGTGACGAAAAAATAACAGTCAAACATATATTGGAAAAATGTCCAGCATTATCGCCTAAGCGCATATTGTACAGTATACCCAACAAACTAAGTGACGTTTTAGGTTTACAGTACAATATTTCAAATTTAAAAAGTTTCTTAACCTCACTTAATATTTTAAATTCTATATAAACTAATATTATAAACGTAATAAAAATTATTGTTCGCTAATAGCCAATTTGGCTGATGCGATTTTGTTAATAAAAAAAAAAATAACGTTCAGTGCAAACAACGCCTCTCTTGTTCCGAGTCCATTTCGGAATCCAAGCTGGGTATTATTGATGTCCATTTCCAGTTTTCTGTGTACTCTAGAGTGTATAATTTTCAGGAATATTTTCAGTACATGGCTCATCAGACTGATTGTACGGTAATCACTACATTGTTTGGCATTTATCTTTTTTGGTATAATAACAAAGGTAGATAAAAGCCATTCTTGTGGTATTTTTCCTGATGTATAAATGCTATTGAAAAGTTCAACTAAAATGTGAATCGAGTCTTTTACTATTAATTTAAGGATTTCCGTTGGTATTTCATCTGGACCTGGAGCTTTACCATTTTTCATTCTTTTTAGTGCGTACATTACTTCCTCTTCCGTCACTTCTGGACCTTCGCGTCCTTGTATGTTACTTAGCTCATATTATTGTCTATCATCTGCAAAGAGTTCTTCAATATAGCTTTTCCATTAGTTCTATTAGTATTCTATTTAGTATTATATTCTATATAGTATAGAATATTAGTATTCTATTCTATTTAGTATTCTAAAAATAAGTTTATTAAAAAATGTGTCTGATTGCTATTTTCTAAAAAATTGATATTAAAATCTCCACATATAACGTAAAAATCATTATTGTTATAAATACTCTGCAACAATTGTTCTAACTTCGTAGTAAAAGTATTAAAATTTACACTACAAGGAGGTCTGTATATAGTTACAATAAATAAATATTTTTTACTTTCATGAACTTTAAATTTTACTCCACACATTTCAACTTTGCTTTCAATACACCAGTGACGTAAATTTAGCTGTTCACTCATTTTTTACAAAATAAGACACTAAATTAAAGTTTTCAATATTGGTTACTTTAAGTTTATCTTTTTTCAACCAATGTTCACTAAGGCATAAAACATTCACATTATTTCTTTGAAGTATCAAATTTACATCGTAAGATTTAAGTGATTTAATAGTAGTTTTGTTATTATTACTGCAAAATTTAGTAATATTGGTTATCTTCAATATACATTTACTACACATTATATACCCAGATCTAAAAAGTAAACTCAAAAACTGTTACAACATTCAAAAAACATTTTTTTAAACACTCATTATGGCAATTTCATAAATATATTTTTACAGAATGTTTTATTACAACTTAAACTGGAGAAAACGAATGTCTTTAGTATTTTACAGAATAAAATCACTGGCAGCGATAAAAGAATAAAATTTAAATATTTTTCAACTTCGTAAATGAATTCAATGATTTATTAATTTATTTTGAAATAACACTAATAAAAACAATAACAATTTCCAACTTCGTATGGTAGGTTGTCCATTTTCGTGAAAGGTGGATTGGTAGAGTTGGAGATAAGAAACACTTATTTTACCTTGGAGTGAAAATTATTTTAAATATTATTTGATAAAATAATATTATTAATTATTAGATGTCGAAGAACAATTGACAAATATTTACCTTTTAATTTTAACTTTGTAGTACATTCTGAAGCAAATATCGGACATCAGTATGAAGACAGTCCTAACACACTTGTAATTTTAAAAGTTAATAATGATTTTGTAATGCTTTTTACTTTAAATAATTTTTATGTTTTAGTTATTGCTGGTTACATCTTCTCTAACAAAATCTTCCTACTCTGGACGAAAATATCTTACACAGTATACCTTACCCAGTTTCCAGTATACTTCTACAACGTTGGAATTACAAGGTCATCGAACGAAACCAATTTCTTCTGGGTAGTATTAAACCTCACCGAATATGCTTGCGTGGTAATAATCGCAATAATTCTGACACTCACATTCGAAATACCTTTTCAGAAGGTTAGGAATTTGTACTTAAAAAAGAAATGCAGCAGGAGAAAATTATTGAAAGACGTAGGAGAAAAAATTAAAGCTACGTGAGCGTTTGTGTGTTGTTTGTAAATATTAGAAATTATTATTTGTGATTATGGATGAATGTGTATAAAATAGATTTTAACATCGAAATGTTATTCTTATAAACATTAAAACGTGTTCACGTTTAAGCCAGTGTTCATTAAAAATAAAAGTAATATGGAATTTATATCTGTTTTATTTTAACCTCTGAGTGCTCAAGCGACTAAAAGTAACGAAACTCGTACTAATTTTTAAGTGAAATCTTAATTTTTTAGCAAATAGTTAACAAAACTTCCGTTTTATTGGTGTTTAAATTCAAATATGGTTGTATTCTTCTTCTTAACGTGCCCTATCAAGTCCTCTTGACGTTAGCAATTAACTGTCTCTGTCTCAAGCTATTCTAAAGAGTTGCTCAGCTTTCTTTATTCCTGTCCACTCTCTGATATTCTTCAACCAAGAGGCCTGCTTTCTACCAATTTCTCTTCGTCCTTCGATTTTACCTATCATAATAAGTTGAAGAATATTATATCGGTCTCCCCTTACTACGTGTCCAAAATAGGCCATCTTTCTACATTTGATGTTATCAAGCAGCTCGCGAGCAGCATTTGCTCTCTCAAGGACTGCCACATTTGTCAGCATAGCCGTCCATGGAATTTTTAGTATACGTCTGTGCAGCCACATTTCAAAGGCCTCCAGACGATTAATGGTGGATATTTTTAATGTCCATGCTTCGACACCGTATGAGGACTGACCAAATGTAGCATTTAACTATACGCTTTCGAAGTTGAAGTTTCAAGTTATCATTACAGAAGAATGACCTCATTTTTAAAAATGTCGTGCGGGCTATCTCGATTCTACATTTTATCTCTCTATCTGAATCTAGTTGTTCAGTAATATGGCAACCAAGATATTTAAAACTGGACACTCTTTGAATTATATGACCATCAACATATAATCGTGCATCTTGATGTGCTAAACGGCTAAACACCATGTGTTTTGTTTTTGAACAGTTTATGTTTAGGCCAAACTCTCTTCCCACTGTAGCAATGGCATTTAAAAGGCATTGTAATCCATTCATGTCATCACTTAAAATAACTGTATCATCTGCATATCTGATTGTATTTATCAGAATTCCATTAACTTTCACGCCCCATTCCAAATTATGCAGCGCTTCTTAAAATATTCTATCTGAATATAAATTAAATAACAGTGGGGATAGTATACAACCCTGTCTGAGACCTTTTTGTATTTTACATATTTCTGTTGATTTTCCGTTTATGCAAGCTGTCGCTGTTTGACGCCAGTATAACTTTTCTATGAATCGTATGTCTTGACTATCAACTCCTTTATCTTTTAATATTGTAATTAATTTGTGATGCTGTACTCGATCAAAGGCCTTTTCATAGTCAATAAATACAGCAAAGACGTCTTTTCTTTGATCTCGACATTTCTGCAGTAATACATTTAGTGCAAAGAGGGCGTCCCGAGTTCCCAGTCCATTTCTGAAGCCAAATTGTGTTTCATCCTGATCTTCTTCACATTTATCTCTGATTCTACTGGGGATAATGCGTAGAAATATTTTCAAAGTGTGGCTCATAAGGCTTATCATTCTATATTCGCTACAGTTTTTCAGACGTTGTTTTTTTTTGGTAGTGTTATGAATTCGGACTTTAACCAATCTTCAGGGATTATACCAGTCAAATAAACATCATTGAAAAGTTTGACCAGTATTCCAATATTCTCCTCATTTATAAGCTTTAACATCTCTGTCGGTATGTTATCAGGGCCAACGGCTTTCTTGTTCTTTGCTAACTTTATAGCATGCAGTATTTCTGATTTTAGTATTTCTGGTCCTTCACCTTCAACTAAAGTCTCCGGTTCTTCGGGTATATCATCATTATACAGTTCACTTATATAATTACACCAGGTTGTTCGAATTTCATGTTCGTCTATTATCATCTTTCTCGACGAATCGGTTATAGTATGTGGAGTTTTCTTATGATAAAGACCAGCTAATTCTCTAACTTTTTTTAAATATATTAAACGTATCATGTTTTTCATTCGACTTTTCTAATTCCTTGCATTTATCCTCCATCCATTTTTCTTTAGCCACCTTTATTTTTTGTTTATTTAGTTTCTGTTTTTCCTTATATTCTGTCTTGTTACCTTTCAGTTTCCTTCTCCGCTCCATTAATTCCAGGATTTCATCAGTCATCCATTGTTGTTTTTTGTGAATGTGTAACGTTGTTGAATATTTTTCTATTACTTTTAAGATGAGATCTTTAAATATGTTCCATATTGCTGTGTTGTTTTGATTTATTGATTTCTTTAGCTCATTGTTTAAGTCATTTTCTATTAACGTTTTGTTGGATATTGAGATATTTAATTTTGTTGTTTTGGGGCTTTCTTGGACTTTTTTGAGCTTCACTTTGAATTCAGTTATTACAGGGTTATAGTCTGAACCGATATCTGCACCAGGATATGTCGTTACTTTGGTGACGCCATTCTTAAATCTCTTGTTTACCAGAATATAGTCTATCTGATTTCTAATCATATGTAGTGAATTATCTCCTGGTCCCCTCCATGTGTATAACCTTCTTTTGTGTAATTTGAACCATGTATCTGCGATTATCATGTCATGTTCTTGACAGAACTGATATAATCTATCGCCTCTTTCATTGCTCTCCCCTAGTCCATATTCACCTACCAGGTCAGATCTTCGGCCTTGGCCAATTTTTGCGTTAAAATCTCCAATAATATATGTGACTTCGTTACTTTTTAGATTTTTTAGTGTCTGTTTTAATTGACTATAGAATGGTTCGACATTATTATCATATTTCTTTTCTGCAGTAGGGGCATATATCTGGATAACATTGACGTTAAATGGTTTGCTATTTAATTGGAGTATTGCTAGTCTGTCGTTCACTGGTATAAAATTTTTCACATATTTCTTAAATTTAGACGTTATAAATAAGCCAACTCCATTCCTATGATGTGTGTCATTTTCTACACTTCCAGAATAGTATAGTGTGCCTTCATCTGTTTCACATATTCCTGTTCCAGGCCATCGGAGCTCACTGATGCCCATTATATCAATTTTTAAACGTTTAACCTCTTGAACTAAGTTACTGAGCTTGCCTTCTGCATAGAGGCTTTTAACGTTCCAGGTACCTAATCTGATTGTACTGCTAGACATTTTTAAATTTGTCGTACTTCTAAAATTGTAGGGATTTCGTGTGATGACAACCTGGGAGGCCCTACAATCTGGTGCGCGCCCTTCCCTGCCGGATCTTGGTTGCCGTGATCCATGATCAGTAATACTTCCGTTACGATTTTATTGAGCCGTGTTAACTTTACTCGGGAGAAATAATTGGGGCGGTTTCCCGTTGCCTTCCAAAATGATTTTTCTGACGAAATAGGTTTACTCCTGTGGGTTGGATAATCGGGAAGGATTTTTGGGTGTTTCTTAGGAAACTTGGATCGGGACATGACCTCCCCTATTTGGTTTGAGGGATAGCGATGGCTTGCGTGAGCACGGTCGCGTCCCTGAAATAGATCTGACTTACACCGGGATCGTATAAGTGTATCTATCCGCTACTCTTATGGTTGTATAGATTAATCAATACCTTTGTCCTTCCACTTTATTTCTACGATCGCTATTTTTACCGCTCTCGGGCTCGGGACTACATCTCGCTGAGACACAAGAACCTAAGTCGTTGAGAGGATAAGACGCAACCCGGCCGTTTGTTGTATTCTAATAACTTCTCTCTATAACGATCTATAGACCTAAAACTTTGTTCTTCTGCTAGTGTTAAAATTTCATTAAATTTATTTGTTATCACTTTGGTTGTTGATTTTGGTGTTGTGTTTAATAAATTAATTCCTCTGTAATTTTCTGGGTTTCATTTGTCTCCATTTTTGAAGAGAGGTAATAGGATGCTTGATCTCCATTCTTGAGGAATTCTGGTTTGTTCTATTATTATTAATAAGAGTTATTTGTGTCAAAAACACTGCGATCTAGGATTATGGTTCGTATGAGGTAGAATAATCAATATTACGATCTTATGTTCTTTATTTAAGTTGATCATTACGGGGTTAATATAACTTGCATGATTGTCTAATATTAGTATCATGTTATCATCGACCGAAGGCTTTGCGATATGTATAAAATGCCTTAAATATTCCATTGGACCAACCACTTTGATGAGCCGTTCATACCAGCAGGTTCACCTTTTAGCACATAAGGCTTAAAATTCACTGTGGAAAATATGTACATAGGAGGGACAGCATTTCCTGAAGCACTGTTACATTAGTACCCCTTTCTCCACTTGTAGCAGAACCAACTTATATAATACCCTTACAAGCACAATTTTTCCAGGAACGTGAACATTAGTGTTACCACTCTCATCAATATTGTATATTTTACTGAGTGTAAAATATGCTTATTTATGACTTCTTTTAATTTTGAAAAAAATAATGAGACATTGTCTTTGTTGAAGCTGGTTCCGCGAGATAGGCTAGTGGCTTGTCTCTTTCTTAAACTAAGTTGCTTATGGCGACTCGTAAAGTCAAGGAACCACTATTTTCCGGTACGATAATTATTATTCCAGGACAGTGGGACTGGCTTATTGTTGGCTTTAGCGTATTCAAATGCTAAAGTTTGTAAAGAGCAACGTGAAAGTCCATACTGCATATGACTCGCTTGAATTAAATACTGACATAAATCGTTCTTCTTATTAGTGCAAAATACTTTTCGGACTGCGTAAGCACCATAAGAGAGGGAATTGTTGAGACCACGGACCAAAAATCTTTGAATTGTGCTCCGTGGCACATGGAATTCCTTTGCAGCTAATCGGATTGATATTTGCTTTTCTTGAATTGCATTGTATGCTTTTAATAGCTTTTCATGATTTGTCGGAGCTCTTTTTTCGCCGGTTTTGCTTCTAGGCATCTGTAAAGAAAAAGGAACTGTTTTTACCTCTTTTTATTTATCCACCTACAAGGGATTGTGCCTTGGGCCGAGGCCCAATGGACAAGACGTGATAATGGTCCAAAGTACACGACTAGGCCGCAAAGAAAACGGCCTTTGAATAAGGCCTTTAAATATGAATTTAACCTAAAAATACTGTTTTGCTATATTTCTCACTATGTTATTTAAGTGCTTGTTAGAATAAGCATACACA